TTGTATAACTATCACCACTACCCCTTTCCAAACTTTTTCATTATCCCAAACAGTAACTTTATCCACTGAACAAAAAAACTCTCCATTTCCCCTAATCCCCTCAATCACTGATAACCTCTAATCTACTGTCTATGAATTTGCCTATTTAAGTATTTCACATGGTTGTCCTTTGTAAATTAACCCTTCTAAACCCACTAAAAAACTTTTATAATCTGACTTAAGCGGTTTGAAAAATCACTGTTGTATTTGTAATCATTTTGATTTCAAGTTTATGCCACCAATAGATAGAACTCTTACCATGTATAGTAGGAAAGAGGCTGGTACAAAGATTGTGGTATAGATTTTTATCTTGACTCATTTCAAACACTTTCTCCCACTCTTTCACCGTCATTTGATTCTTAATGCTCTCAGCTGTCTGTTCCTCATCTCTGAGCTCTTTCCCTCCAAACTGAGGGTGGAGAACAAAGAATTTTTAGTAAAGAAGCAACCAAAATAGTGTAAAGAAAACTTCATTACATATAAAACACAGCCTGGGGGTGGTGCCTGTGGCTCAAAGGGTAGGGTGCCAGCCCCATATACTAAGGGTGGCAGGTTTGAACCGGGCCCCCGGCCAAACTGCAACAAAAAAATAGCCAGGCGTCGTGGTGGGTGCACTCAGGTTGCTCCTGGGCAGCTACCTCTAAGCCCAGGAGTTGGAGGTTGCTGTGAGATGTGACACCATGGCACTCTACCGAGGGCAATAAAGTAAGACTCTGTCTCTAAAAAAACAAACAAAAAAAACATAGCCTAGGAAGTTAATTTTACAATCTGTTGGCTATAAGGTGTTTTATAAAAATCTCCCCAAACTAGTAAGCTATTAGTCAATGAAAACACTTAAAGGTTTGTCTAGTGACATAAACATTAAAAAGCTACCATTGGGGTAGTGCCTGTGGCTCAGTGGGTAGGGCGCCGGTTCCAAATACCGAGGGTAGCGGGTTCAAACCTGGCCCCAGTCAAACTGCAACAAAAAATAGCTGGGCGTTGTGGCAGGGGCCTATAGTCCTAGCTACTCTGGAGGCTGAGACAAGAGAATTGCCTAAGCCCAGGATTTGGAGGTTGCTGTGAGCTGTGTGACACCATGGCACTCTACTGAGGGCGATAAAGTAAGACTCTGTC